TTAAAGATCCAGTGCGAGACGTAAGTTAAGACCAAGGAAATAGCCCAAGAAAGATTACAAGGAATATTTATATGAGAATGGGCCAACGAGTAGTTAGTGGTCAGGAAGATCCCAGTTATGTCTAAATAGGAGGTTACAGATGAGTCATCAGATCATGTAAGATAAACATAGTAGAACCCAACGTGAAGAATTTAGCCTCAAACAATATCATTATAATACTTAAGATATATTCAATTAAGAGTCGGGGTAGTTAAAGGTACCATATGAGTGTTACGGGGATAAAAGAGAGTGCCACTAGGAAGACGATCAAAATATCAGTCTAGAAGCAACCCCACAAGCACAGGGGCATGGAGATAAGTAACTACGGATAATTATTGGCAAGGAAGGATAGAAGAAGGTCCGTCAAGTATACGCACATCTACACAAGAGTCAGAGGATCCTCCCTAAGTACTACAGTGAAGGACTAGCAGAGGAAATGAAGAAGAAGGCTTCAACTTAAGCACAGTGACCTAATGAAGAAATGGTCATGTAAAAGCAGTCTCACAACAAAAATTTTACGCCCTCCAAAAGAAAGTGGCACCTACCGTGGCTAATGAACGGGGAGAAAGATAGAAGGTAATATTCGAGACTATATGAGTTGCACAAAAATTCTGGCATGTGTGGGAACTAGGATAAGTTAAGTATGCATGCAACAAGGGGCAAAAACACAAGGATAAGTAGTTGCATAAATTTAAAGAAAGCTGAGATGGAATGAAATGAATTATTTGATCAATGATCCATGGTTAGTACGTTATGGATACACCCAAGATTTTGGAGCATTATATTTGTTGAAAATCATACAGCCATAGAAGACTCCGGTATAAATTAAAAAGAAGAATTGAGCCAAGGGCATAGACAAAGGATTGAATTGTTAGAAGATTGAATCATGGATATTCCATAACACCCATGAAAGGATAAGGTAATAACTAATACCATGAGCCACAGATCGGAATATAGCTTAAGCTTACATAAAGGTCGATCGGAAGGAAGAGGAAGCTAAAGAATTACATCACCCAAGTAAATCAAGAGTCTGATTATTGGACCTAGAAAAATTATAGAAGTTGTGCTTGAGAACATGACAGAATCACTCTTAATATCAGATGTTCAAACATAACAACCATAATCTATAATGGCTCTACAAGAAAACCAGTTAGAAGAAGTACCATCCTCATAAGAAGTCAGTATGAAGCTCTCATCGGATTGTGTATGTAGTAGAGGTGCGAGTATTATAATAGAGCTTCAAGTTATAGAAGTGAATTACACCTAGGTGGAAGGGGGGTCAGGAAAGAGATAGAAGATATGATACGAAATTTTAAGGTAAGTAAGATTAAGGTGAACAACGCACGAGATACTAAAAGGCAGAAGATCGTAAATAATCCATACTTCGGATAGAAGGCTATAAGCATGGGAATCCAATAACCATGAGTGATAGCGACATCATAGGCAACATGTCTTCCAACCTATGGTTTCTAAATACTGAGAGATTTAGTTAAGAGAATAGAGAAAAGTTAGAGACGATGTGATGTCTCGCTTGACATTCCAGAATAACATAAGGAAATCTATGGTGCAAGTATGCTGAAGGAAAGTTGCAAGTAATATAAATGGAGATGTATAAGTCGAAAGCTAAAGTATGGTAGAGTGACAAAGTTTTAAGGAAACATGAGTGAGGATGAAGAAAGGCAAGTGAAAAGGTGACGAGCAGGGATAAGTCCTCGGGATTTAGTCCATAGAAACAAGGGAGGTAATGGTTTCTCTAAGTTATTGAAAGTTCAGTATTGCGTAAGAAGTTTCAAGTTATTAGTGGTATATTGTAGATCAATATTGAAGTGAATAAACTATGTATGAACAAAAGCTCATTGTAAGGACGAATTTAGGAAGCTCGTTTCTGAATTGGGCAAACTTAAGGCCTTTCACGCCTAAAAGGAGGGGGAGCTAGGTGACCTTGGAGCTCATTTGGAGAGGATATCTCGAGAGCGGGATGATCTCAATGAGCATGTAGTACGACCCTTGTGGTCTTATTTTTGTGCTTGAGTCAATTGAGTGTTTGATATCTTAATTTGGCTTTTTCAGCTTAAGAAAAAAAGATAATTTAATGCGAGAGGAGCTTAGAGCTAGAGATACCGAATCCTTGGGCTGAAGCAGCGCGTTGATGAGATGTCTTCCGATAGAGAAGCTCTTTGAGAGAAGCTGGCCTTGGTTGAGTTCCAACTCCAAGGGGCGAGGGAAGAAATCTTGAAGCACAAAGAACTCCATGCTAAACTAGTCGTTGAGCTATCTACAGCTAAGTCCGACGTCACTGAGCTCACGTCCTCATACAGAAAAGATGATGCTGCTGAAAATGCTCAAGCCAAGAAGGTATCTGAAGAGGCCGAGCTTAAACTGTCCCGAGCCTTGGAACATGCCCGATTAAGATCTAGGAGACAAGCTCTCGAGGATGCATATGCAGGGGCATCGATTTGTCTGCCGAGATTGAGAGGGTGAAGGCCCTAGAGGAAAAATCAACAACTCTGCTTTCTCCCGAGGATGGTTCAACCAGTGATTTGACCAACGACTCTAAGGATGATAAAGACGAAGGTGAAGTCTCCGAGGGGTAAGAGGTCGTCGATGACCCGGGAGTCGAGGGCCAGGCCGTTGAAGACACAACTTCCGAGAGAGCTCCATCGGGTCCAGTAACCCCGGTGGTAGATTAGGTCTTTATTTGTTCCTTTGTTATGTAAGGGATCCAAGTGTGAGCCTTGTAAATGTGTCTTTGTGAAACCTTATCACACACACACACACATATATATATATATATATATATATATGGATTTTTGATTCTTATCATTTCTTGTTTTTCTTTTGCCTTTTTGGAATAAATTTCGATGCTTGTTGATAATCAGTTCGATGTATAGGACTTATGATATAAACCCTTTAGGTTTTCATGCTCGATGAGTGATTGATGATAGTTAACCATTTAGGGCTCGGTCCTCAAATCAAGTTTTGACTCAGGCTCATTGACCCTTAGGTTTTCGACATACTGGCTCTTAGTTTCTTACGTATTGGCCCTTAGGCTCTTTAGGCTGACCCTTAGGCAAATATGCATTGGCCCTGAGGCTCTTCGCGTTAGCCCTTAGGCTCTTACAGATTGGCCCTGAGGTTCTTTGGGTTGGCCCTTAGGCTCTTACGCATTGGCTCTAAGGCTTTTTGGGTTGTCCCTTAGGCTCTTATGCATTGGCCCTTAGGCGCTATTTAGATTGGGTTGATGCAACCTCTGATATGGCTATAGTTTTCACCTTTTCGATTGAAGTTTTTGAGTATACCTTGTCATGTTTTGTGTTTGTCTGACTCTTCGATGGCTCAAATAAGAACCTCGATTATGAATCGATATTTGACGATAATCGAGTATCTCGGGAGGTTCTCTTGAAGTCTAATTTTTCGAAGCCTTTTGTTGAAGGCTGATTGTCTCAAAGCCTTGTCATTGTTTGTAGCTGATATGATTGAAGCTCCTTTGTTTATGCCGGGGGTAGCCAGATTAACTGCTTCTTTTTGAAGTATTTTTGAAGTATTTGGAGGCCTTTAGTTTTACAGTGGCAGTCGAACATCTCCGAGTTGTGTTAATTTGGTCGGAGCCTTTTGATATGACTGTAGTCGATAGTTCACGGGTGAGATAACCTCGGCGTCTATATCAAGGGTATTCCTTTTTAAGGGTCTTACAAGTTTTATATATAGCCTCGATCTTGATACCGGGGTTATGCCTTTTTAAGGTCTTATAAGTTGTGACATGCCTTGTGGAGGTCTCATAGATTTGGTGTTGCCTCACTGAGGTTTTACAAGCTCGAAATTGCCTTATTGAGGTCTTACAAATTCGAGTTTTCGATGGCTTTAATGAGCTGACTGTCGATGACAGTCCCTGAGTGTTCGAGGATCTTGGTCCCTTCGACAGTTTTTGCGTGAAAGTAGTGAACTTCTTCGAGACATAAAGTGCTTTGATAAGCAAAAAGGCTTCTCTCAATTGCTTGATATATGCGTACATGTTTTTTTCCTTCGGAGGCCCAATTATTCTACATGGACACGGTTCATCCTACCTTTTGGCCCAATACATCATTCTCCTATCAGGGCCCTCCTAGGCGTAGTTTGAGTCCTTTGAAGAGGCGACCTCCCGGGGTGATGACCCCCAGTATTTGAGGTTGATCGAAGAGGAGCCTTGAATACTTGATGAGTTCTCCTTGTGTAGCATATGGATGTTGCCTTGTTAAAAACCATGCCGGTGAAACCCATTCGGAATAAAATCCGGTCTAAGGGAAAAAGAGTGCAACGCATGCTTTAAAACCCAAGGTCTTCGAGCTGGAGGGTACTTTGATTCCACTCAATCGGACACCTACAATAAGTTAGTATAAAACATAAATGAAAAGGGAGAAGGTTGTACCTTAGCATTTATAGCGTTAGAGCTTCGATCCATTTTTTATTGATTGTACCGAGGATGTGGAACTATCCTTAATTTACCCATTCGGGTGGAACCGATAACGTAGGTTGTGGTCGCTATTTTTCTGTTTGCTTGTCTTTTGGTTTCTTCGACGTGGAGGGCATAGATGTCGGCACTGCGTTGTGCACCGCAAACATCTCTCTTGCTGCTTGTTGTTCCCCATACACTGCCATTACTCCATCATTGGTTGAAAACTTCATCATTTGATGAAGGGTTGAGGGTACTGCCCTTATATTGTGTATCCACGACCTTCTAAGCAAGGCATTGTATCTCATGTTGCCTTCGATGACATGAAACTTGGTATCTTAGATTGTTCTAGCTACATTGACTAGGATGATGATTTCCCCTTTTGTTGTCTCGCTGACCACATTGAATCCATTGAGGACTCGAGAGGCGGGTACGATCTGGTCGAGCAGTCCGAGCTGCTCCACCACCATTGACCTGATTATTCTGGCTGAGCTACCTGGATCCACGAGCACACGTTTAATCTGAATTTTATTCAAAAGAAAGAAATTAACAGTGCGTTATTATGAGGATGATACAAGGTCGCATTGTCCTCTTCGCTGAACGTGAGGGTATCCTCTGGTATGTAACTCCGAGTTCGCCTTTCCCTGATGGTGGATATCTTTGTTCGCTTGAAAACGGGTTCTCGTAGGGCGTCATCCCCTCCGACGATCATATGGATGACGTGATGTGGTTCCTTTAGTTTGTTTTTCCTATTTGCATCGCTTTCACGGAAATGGTTCTTAGCCCGGTCACAGAGGAACTCACAAAGATGCCCTTCATTGAACAAATGGGCTACCTCCTCCCTAAGCTGCCTGCAATCCTCGGTCCTATGACTGTGAGTGCCGTGATACCTACACATCAAGTTTGGGTTCCTTTGTGAAGGGTCCGATAATACAGGTTTTGGCCACCTGGCATCTTTGATTTTCCCTATGGCTGACATGATGCCTAAGACATCGACGTTGAAGTTGTACTCAGATAGACAGGGTGCCTCTACCGGCCCAGTGTGGATATTGAACCCGGCTTTACCCATGAGCCCTCGGGAATTTTAACCTCGATCTACCCTTCGATCGCCTCGAGGCATGTTATGCCTTGGTGAGTTTCTTCGATCTTCTATATAAGAGTGGTATCTTTTTTTGTTTGATCTTAGCTCCCTTTCTGTAAACCATTTCTCCTTTGTAAAGGGCCTGCTGGGAGATACTGAGCCCGAGGGGGCTCCTAGTTGGTCATCTTCGACCCTGATCTTTGTTTGGTACCTGTTGTGCACATCCGCCCAGGTCATGGCAGGATATTCGATCAAATTTTGTTTTAGTTTACTTGAAGCTACCGAGCTTTGTTCGTTCCAGCCTTGAATGAAGGCCTGTAGTACCCAATCATCGGAGACTGGTGGTATTTCCTTTCACTCCATTTGAAAGCGGGATACGAATTCCCTTAGCATCTCGTTCTCTCTCTGCTTGATTTTGAAGACATCGGACTTCCTGGTGGCGACCATAATGGCACCAGTGTGTGCCCTCACAAAAGAATCCGCCAACATGGCATATGAGTCTATTGAATTTTGGGGCAGGTTATGATACCACATCATATCCCCCTTCGATAGTGTTTCTCCAAATTTCTTTAACAAGATGAACTCAATTTCATCGTCCTTCAAGTCGTTCCCTTTTACGGCACAAGCATATGCGGTAACGTGCTCATTGGGGTTCTTGGTCCCGTTATATTTCAGGACATTAGGTATTCTGAATTATTTCGGGATGGGCTTCGAAGCTGCAATTGATGAGAATGGCCTCTACACGAACTTTTTTGAATCTATACCCTATAGAATCGGGGGTGCCCCGGGGATCTGATCGACCCTCTAGTTATAAGTCTCCACCTTTTTGTCGTTATCTTCTATCTTCTTTTCTCTCGATTCAATTCTTTTGGTGAGGTCCTCGAGCATCTTAATAATAGCGAGGTATGTTGCTGACCTGTTGTTGCTCGATCTCTCCGGTACCTGCTCGATTCGAGGAGCCCCCTCCGGTGCTACTGTGCTTGGGGTTTATTGTTGACTTTGTAGCTGAGCAATAACCATTTGTTGTGCTTGCAACATTTCAAAAATGACTTGGAGGCTGACTCTTTCTCCCACTCCTCGTGCTTCTTGACCTTGAGCCTGGTCTTCCCTGCGTCCGTTGTTTACGGGGTCTACGCTTGCTTCCGTGTTTAGAACGTTGTGGAAGCCAATATCAACTAGCTCCATATTTGGTACACCCTCAGGGTTTATAGGTGGTACGCCCAGCCCTATGCTGCTATTTTTTCCAAGTTCTTCACTGGTGTGAAGAGGTGCATTTTGTGTGCTAGACATGATTAATCCTGAAATCAAAGAATCTTTGAAAAGAAAAAGTGTGAAGAGTAACGTGTGTTATCAGAGAACTAGCACCAAAACAATAACATTATTCTTAGCCCCACGGTGGGCGCCAAACTGTTTACCTTGAAAATCGTAACTACAACTATATTTGATTTGTGGTTCTAAAAATATGTGATTTATCTTGATATTAATTGTTAGGCAGTAGATGCTAAGCGTAAGTAAATAAAATAAGAAATGCAAACCAATAGGCTTATAATGCTGGGCCTCGAGCTGGCTGGAGCAGGGCCTCGGGGTCTAGACGGGCTAACAGCGATGAACGATCGACAGAGGATTAATGATAATTGGGACCTCAACGACAGTCTTGTCTGGTTAATGATGAGCTATAAATGAAGAACAATAATGAATAATTAATGAACAATGAAAGAGTAAGCAATAAATGTGAAGAACAATTGCTTAAGCGAAGAGTAGAGAATGTTGTATTGTATTTAATGTGTTGTGCAATTGTCACGACCCAAACCGATGGGCCGCGACGAGCACCCGGTACCTTACTTAACCGAGTACCAACGTAACATATCTTTCTTATTACATTATCATATACACGTGACATACGGGCCTAATAGGCCAACATAATCATTTATAAACTCAAAACATAGGCCAACAAGGCCGTACAATCTTTCATGTACACGACATATATCTACAAGACTCTAAGAATACATAATATAAAGGTCAAGAAAAAGTCCCGCCATACCAAACAGTATATGTCTAATTCATACTAACCAAACAAGCAACTCTGAAGCAAATCAAGCGCACCAACATCTTTCGCTAAGCTGATAACCTACATGGAGGGCTCTCGATCTGTCTATCGGGACCTGCGGGCATAAAACGCAGCATCCCCAAGCAAAAGGGACGTCAATATGAATAATGTACTGAGTACGTAAGGCACATAAATAAATACATAAGAGACATGGAAGACATATAGAGTACATGACTCAACCTGTAAGTCTGAATAACTTTTGTAAATAATAAATTACTTTTAGCATCATGCATATGCGTATGAATGTCATGTCGTGCATAGGTACATATTTCATAACATCATCAGCCTCTGAGGGCATCCGATCATATCATATCGGCCACTGTGGGAAAAATCATAATCGTATACCACCTGATCAGGTGGTGGTGTGTATATAACACCATAACCTTTCCCATATCCCATCTACATATATATACATACATATATACCCGTATATAATGATGTTTGAATCATATTTCAGCCACTGTGGTCAACATCATCATCATATACCAGCTGATCAGGTGGTGGTGCATATATAACGCCGTAACCTTTTCCCATATCCCATATACATATATTTACATATATACGCGTAAATAACGTCATCTGGTCATGGGTCAATGCACATGTATGAAATGCATGAAAAATACGTAATAATCTCAATATTCCTTCCTGATAAATTTTTCCAATTGTGTATTATTCTGAGACTCATGAATAGAAGATAATAATAATTCTCATGGGGAATCAAAAATATAGACACCTCTACTATTTCTATGATTAGAGTAATTTATAGAAACTGTGTATTTGCTCGTTTCTTCAGTATAATTTGGACCATGCCAAAAGAAAAAAGGGAGGACCTTAACATACCTGTTCCTGGAATTATTTGAATGAATCTGCTTTTGCGAAATATGAACGAAATTCTTCTTGAAATCTTGAAATCTCGGATGAATTTGTTCTGCCTCCAATGTTTTTGAACTAAATAATGGTTTTAAACTAAAACTTGACTTCAACATTTTTTTTGAAGCTTGGTTAAAGATTCTATTTTCAAGCTCCTACTTTCAGAAGCTTTAAGGGCTCAATTCATATTAGACCAAGAAAATGAATTGAAGCTTTAAGGGCAGATGGTCTAAATTGGATAAGACTTTTACAAGTCTTGCTAAGACTTTAAGTCACGTTAGGTTATTAGGTAGACACCTAGACTTAGGATTAGTGACTCACCTTTCTTGAGTAGTGGCCTTGTGCCACGTTTTTGGGGTTAATTTTATTAATTTTTATCCACTTATTAGTTAATCGGGTAATGTTTCGTTACTCGGTAATTAATCTATTACCCGCATAATTTAAAATTTACCACAAATTATGTAAAATTCTATTTATTACTAAAATACTTTATATATACTTTATATGTTATATTACCGTGGTTATATGGTACCTTGCATGGTACTAGTCCATAAATACTGCGTATTTAGCTCGGGCCATATTTTACCCCAAAATGCCAAACTTGGACGAAAATTCATTTTCTTCGACTTGCTTCCCTTTTTACCTTCATGAATTTATTCATCACTTACAATCCTTATAATCTCTAAATAATCTTTTCCTTAGACTGATTTCAATATACCTTTCAACGCGCAATACTACAGTGTGCAACATCGTCGTAACTTAATACTTCAAAGCATAACATCACCGTAATGTAATACTGCTAGGTGCAATATTATTCCCCCCTTTGGAACATTCATCCTCGAATTTTCACTGATGCGCTTATCATTTTCATAACTTATATCTTTCGAATACTTTAGAACTTCCCTTGCCATCTAGGCGATTGTTCTGTGAATGAGTCCAAATGCTAGGGCATTCCCCTCTTTGAGCCTCTTTCACACACCACGATTTGTGGTCGGAATTCGTCCAATTTTTTAACTGTTGCTACCTTTTGTCATCCATGTACCACATCTTACTCATAATGCTTCATTAACTCTTTTCTTATTTCTTGCTAACATTTATGACTATCACCTTATTCTAAACACTCGAACAAGACATTCTTTTGCTTTTAGCTTTCCTTTGTTCCATCCAGTGGCTCTTCAAGTTGCTTAAAATTCTTGCTTTACTAGTGACACGAGCCACACTAAGGTAATATGTATCCCTTCAAGGCTTATAGTGTATGTCTTTGAAGTACACATATCTAGCTGCACTATTTTAGAGTGCACCATCTAGGTGTCTCATAAAGAGATCTATTAGCACATTTGCAATATCCTTCGGAAATGTCAACTGACGCAATCAATTCATCCATCATATCTTCTTATACTACTTTTGTTAACCCCCATAGGTCATATCTGGAAGGAGTGCGACCAATTGTATATACATCTGTTACTATTGAATATAATTCAAAAAGCTTATGTTCATCTGCCTCAATTATAAACGTCATTAGCCTTCATTAATTGGGTGCCTCGTACTCTTCTTCCTCTTGCTTCTTTTGCTTGTTGAAAATTGTATTTATCTTCTTAATCTCTTATTGTCTTTTACCATAAAGATGGATAGACATTCTTCCCATAAGGCTTCTTATAAGGAAGCTTGCACTTTTTTGTACACCCATGATCTGCTAAAGACGTCACATTTACTTATCGTAGGCATTATACAAAAATCCAATTCCTCTGACTCAGCTCTTCCACAACTATCTCTCTTTCCAATCCTTCTTTCTCGATGTAGGTATCGTCTTATTATGAATAATAGAAAAAAAAAGAAATTCAAAATTTGAGTTTCTTATAAGTGAGCTCTACTACACGATCTAGAGTAAGAAGAAATAGTGACAATCCTAAATACCCTATAGCCTCCTGCTTATAAGTGTAGTGCACGATACCTATAAACAAGACTCTACTAGACACAGCTTGTAGACTCCCTAGGATAGAACTACTCTAAT